AAAATAGCGAAACTTCTTCACCATAAAGGCTTTCACGTAACCTTTGTCAATACAGAGTTTAACCACAAAGGAATACTTGATGCAAGAGGTCCTAATGCTCTTGATGGCTTGCCTGACTTCTGTTTCGAGACTTTACCGATACAGCACCCTCCTTCGAATTCCCACATAAGTGCGGCCCTAAACCTTCTTGCTCTGCGTGAGGCATGTGGAAAGAAGCTTCTGTCTCCCTTGAGAGACCTCATTGCTAGACTCGATGAAACTGCTACAAATCCTCCTGTGACATGCATGGTGTCTGATGCTATGTTGACTTACGCTCAAGTACTTGCTGAAGAACTTGACATGCCGAATGTTTTTGTCTGGCATATGGCTGCAACTGGGGTTGTGAGCTTCGCAAATTTTCGTGATCAAATGAAGCAATTGGTAAATCTCCTCAAAGGTAAGTATTTTCACAGTCCTCTTTTCTTTTGACTAAATTCCTATTGCTTCTTACCAATTTAATTAACCATATGGTGATCTGCAGAACCGAACAAACAGACAGATGAGATGTTGGACAAGAAGTTGGAATGGATTCCGGGAATGAAAGGTGCTCGATTGAGGGATCTTCTTAAGGTTATCCAAGTTCGAGATCGAAATGGATATATGGAGGAATCTAGTGAGGGTGATATGGAAAGAGTTTCGAAGGCATCAGCAGTTATTTTCAACACCTATGATGCCTTGGAGGGGGAAGACTTGATCAGCAGTCTCTCATCTATTTTTCGTCAGGTTTACAGCATTGGGCCTACTCAGTTGCTTCTGAATCATACCTCTAATGATTTTTACGAGACTGTTGATGGAAATCTGTGGAATGCAGAACTTGAATGCATCAAATGGCTTGATTCGAAAGAGCCGAATTCGGTGATTTACGTTAGTTTCGGTAGCTCGACGATAACAACAACGGAGCAGCTACTTGAGCTTGCTTGGGGACTTGCTGATAGTAACCACAACTTCTTGTGGATAATTAGGCCAGATTTGATCGAAGGAGACTCGGCGATTCTGCCATCGGAGTTCCTGTTGGAAACTAAAGAGAAAGGTTTTGTAGCAAGTTGGTGCCCACAGGAGCAAGTCCTTAACCATCCATCAGTAGGAGGATTCCTAACACATTGTGGGTGGAACTCGATGATTGAAAGCTTATCTGCTGGGGTGCCAATGATTTGTTGGCCATTCTTTGGGGACCAATTTGCAAACTCTAGAAAAAGTTGCAACGAGTGGGGTATTGGCTTGGAGTTGAGTGATGACTTCAGAAGAGATGAATTAGAGAATATTGTTCACGAGATATTGATAGGAGAGAAGGGTAAGAAAGTGAAGGAAAGGGTCTTGGAATGGAAGAAGATGGCAGAAGAGGCCACAAGTTTTGATGGTTCGTCATCCTTGAACTTGAACAATTTGGTCAATGAAGTCCTGCTACCAAAAAGTTCATTTTCCTTCTCCATTGATTTGTGATTTGTTGTTAATTTTCTATTCCATGTGTTCTAATAATGTCTTACAATGTACATTGTAAGGATTATTAGAGAATAAAATGGCATTCTTGGTTTGCCAATTACTCTTTCCATATGCTGTTAAGGTGGAAATAGGGTTAATTAGTCTTCATAGTCCTTAAATTTTTAATCTTTATTATTGTGGTCCTTATCAAATTTTTTTTTGTCTCCCTTTTACTCCAAGTACGTGAGACTTAAAATTGGCTTTTTCTTTCAAATTAATAATATACTAAAATGCTGAGGGGTTTGAACAGTGACAATACTATTCATCCCCTCACAAATCACGGTTCATTCGTTTTTTTTTTAACCCTCACATTTTCATTCACTCTTAGGGTATACTTGTACTATAATTCTTAGTTTTTTTTTTTGTGTAATTTTCACTCTTAGTTTTTTTTTCTTTTTCTTTTTTAGTTTTCAAATTATATATTTTTTTTTTAATTTTTACTCTTAGTTTTTTTTTCCTTGGGTTTTTTTTTTTGTAATTTTTAAATTATTTTATTTTGATCCCTAAAATTTTAAAATAAAAAATTTAATCCCTAACTAATGCATTACATGTCTTTTCTTTTTCTTTTTTTTGGTTTTTTTCTTTGATTTTTTTTCCATCAATGTATATTCTTTTTTTTATTTAATTGGGTGTGAAAATTTTTAAAAATCAATTGTTACTTTTTTTCGTTACTCTTTATCCATACAAACCGACGATTATATAATATATATAGATCAAATATATATAATTTAAAAAATAATCTTCTCATCAACATTAAATAAGAATAAAATTTTAGTTTTTTCATTAATTAATTTTTATGCAAGTCTATACATTAATTGTAACTTTATTTTTTGGGTATATTCTTATAAAACAATATATTTTTAAATTATTTATTTTTAAATTCTTAATTAATTTAGGTTTAAATTATATATCACAAGTTTTTACTTAGGAATCCCTAAATAAAGAAAAATAAATTATTTTTTTAAGCAAAAATTTTATGAAAAACATAAAAAATTGTAATAGTTAATTAAAAAATTATAAATTTTTGAAATGATTTTATTCTATCTACTCGCAGCGTTGCGTGAATAATTTTAAAAATAATCTTTTTATCAACATTAAATAAGAGTTTTTTTTTCATTTGTTAGTTTTTATAAAAGTCTATCTATTAATTATAACTTTATTTTTTGGAATACAATATTATGAAAAATACATTTTTAAAGATTTTTTAATTCTTGATTAATATTTTAGTTAAAATCAATCCATAAAGAAAAATGATTTATGTTTTTTAAACAAAAAAATTGGAAAAAAATTAGAAAAAATTAATTAAATAAAAAATTATAATTAAAAAAGTTTTAAAATTTTAAAATGATTTTATTCTATCGGATCCGTGGTATAGCGTGGGCAACCGACTAGTTAAAGAAACTAAAAGATATCAATGGAATGAAAAAGTGATTTTTGCAATTGAGAAAACCACGTCGTTTTAATAGTGAAAAACGACATAGTTTTTGTATTTAATGGTGTCATTTTCACAAAAAATAAAAAAATAAAGCCAACTTTTTTTGTATAGACAAAATTCCGGCCTGATAATCAACGAAAGTGGGTTGGTTTCAGCCAAGTCATTAAGGAAATGATTGCAAAACATGACAAGTCCAATGATGAGACTTTTAAGGTGACATATAGCGTTCAAGATAAGCTTCTTTTTTCCCCCTAAACATGTCAAATTTTTCTTTTAACTTTAATTTATTTGAAATTAACTTCATAAACTTTAAATTTGATTTTGAAAAACTATGAATTTTTTAATTTTTGTAATTTAATCCATCTATTGAATTTTAGTTATCATTCTTCTTTTTGAAAAATTCAATTCTTGATGTTTTGAGCTGAAATGTTACACACATTAGAAAAAATCCAATCCATTTAAAAAAAAAATTCAGAATTTTTCAAAGTTGAAAAATATATTTTTTTATTTTTTAAATATTGAAATAAAAAAATAAAAAATAACTTGAAAATGATCCTAAATTTTTTGATTAGTCCCATCTAAATCTTACCGAATAATTTTTATCATAAAATTATTTATAAAATTGTTATTTTTTCAAAAAAATAAGCGAAATATTAAAAAAAAAAGTTTAAGGATCGTAAAATTCAAAATTTGAAATTCGAGAATTTATTTTAAAAGGATTAAAGTTGAGACAAAAAAAATTGACCTACTTAGTTTTTTTTTTTTTTTTTTTTTTTGGGCAATAAACCGGTCAAATATGCTGTAAGACAAAATGTCAAGAATTTTTCTTTTGAATGTCAGTGCAAAAGTAACACAAAAAATTCATGTCTTTTCACCTTGTCAGCCACTAGCGAAGTTAAGGTTAGTCTGTCATTTCCTGACTTCCAAACCTTAAGGAAAGGAAGTTTTCGAATGTGGGGTTTTCGGATTCCGACAACACACAAAATTTCTTGTTGGGATGTCCAGTATTGGAATCTCTGACCTTATGAATGGAATGGCTTGAAGGATCTTTGTATTAATCGTTCTAAGCTGAAGTTCATCAAAATATACAAGTGCCTTTGGGATTCAAATTTGCAATATCAATCTTCGGACTAGACTTTTGACGAATTTTTAGATAAATATCTCAATTTGTTTTCTTATAATAATTTAAATTTTCGTTTTAATTTTATGATTATAAGAACATTTATTATGTCCTTAAATAATATTTACGTTTTCAAACTATTTTTTTGACAATGAACAAATTTTTTTGATTGATTGAAATACTTTCGATTTAAATGAAAAAAAAATTAAAAATAAAACATACAGATCATATGATTTTAAGTGGTTTTTTTTTTCTATTTCAATTGAACATATTTCGATAAAAAAAAATTTGTCCATTGTTGAAAACGTCAATCGAAAAAATAGATTGAAAATTTAAATATTATTTAAAGACATAATAGATACAATTAAAAATATAAAAATATGTTAAAATTTTATGCGACTGTATAAGAATAAATTGGAGTAGCAAAGGACAACAACATAGAAGAAGTTTCTTCCCAGTTGACAGCAGCTTTTGTCTTTGACCGTAGCAGTAACAATGTGTTTGAAAATAGAAGTGAAGTTGTTCTCAGAGATTGTGTTTCTACGTTGTATAGAGAATTAATCAACAAGACAACACGTTCATAGTTGACACCATGGTTCATTCTTGGTCAAGATGTGGGAGAAGATTTTGAAAATATACTTGAAAGAGGAAGTAGTACAACTCCTGATATGCCTGGTAATTTTCATGTCAGAAGAAGAAGAAGAAGAAGAATCTTATATTTTCTGAAGATGGGATATTGATTCATAAAAATGGCAGTCCATAGCTTGTTAACATTGAGCTTAAACTATACAAATGATAATTGATACACGAGCCTTTCCCTTCATACCCCAGAAATACAGCCAAGTGCAAGCAACCTCGGCTGCCCATATTCATGTTTGTCGAGTTTTATTTCAGGACACCCGTTGTGATACTGTTGCTAATAGCAAGTCAATGGATATCAGATCTTTTCGTCAATCTACACCACAGTCCATTCTTGGTATGTATGGTTGCACCTGTAACTAATTCTACCTCTTCTGGAGAACCTCTTAGCTCCACAACGAATTTCTGCAACAACATTGTCAAAGCTATCGTTGATTCCATGAGCGCAAATTGATCCCCAACGCATTTTCTCGCCCCTCCTCCGAAGGGTAAGAAGGCAAAATCTGACATAATCTAACAATGCGAACCATAAAATTTGTTAGAAAAGGCAAAGTGGTAAGTTATGTTCGGGAAGCAGAGAAAAAGAAAAGTTGTGAACATACCTCATTTGGATATAGAGCTCCTGAACTTCGAGATGGATCGAAGCCACTCCATCCTTCAATCCCTTCATTATCTCTTTTCACTAAGAACCTTTCTGGTTCAAATTCGTTAGGATTGTCCCAAAAATATGGGGATCTGTGGAGATTATAGACCTAAATGAACCATTAATTATCAATAAACATTTTGTTCATAAAAATATAAACACAAAGAAGCTCGACGGTTTACATAGAGCACGGTAAAGTAGAAGGAAGATGGAAGTACTATATCAAAGTGTCAAAGCATAACGATTCCTTATGTTCTTTCATGACAAAGGAATTAAATAAGAAGAAGGCAAAAGAAATGCTTCAACTCACTGATACAAAGATATCCGTCCCGGCAGGAATTGCATAACCGTCTTTGTTTCCCTTGTATCCTCCTGTGCAATTTAAGTCTCTGGCTTAATTAAAATGTTGCACATTAAAGTTCAGGAATCAGTTTGGCTACTATTTATCCTACTGCTACCAGTGAGAAATACCTGGCAAAACATCTGGTTTGAGAGAACGTCTAATCAGCAATGGTGGCTGAGGATACAAACGAAGAGCCTCCACCACAATGAGTCTAATGTACCTGAAAGCATGGAAGAAAAAGTATTGCAAAAAAATTATAGCTACTAATAAGTAGCCTAAACGAACAAAACGTTATATAGTTTGATTGAGCTCCATTAGAATATTTTGAAGCCTTCAGTTAAAAGCTGTCATCCCAAATTATTAACATAGAAATGTAACTGAGAAACCTGTATTGGGATAAAACATTTCGATGTAATATGCTTATTTTCCTTCTGTGGGTGGACGTGTGTATTCAATCGATATGAATGTCTATTGATTTTAAAAAAATTATCCAGGAAAATGCACGGCGTTGTTTCTGTAATACAGCCACCAGTGAATATAAACAAGTTTGTATGTGCATATATAAAGGAAGACTCACTTCAACTGTTTAATCAATTCAAAAGTCAGCCTCCCCTGACCCAGCACTTGATCAATCTCTGCTTGAGCTTTCTTCATTTTGGAGGGATTCTGCAATTTCAGAAATAGTATAAATCAGACAGACTGCTGCTTGTAGTGGAAGAAAGAAATTGTGAAGCAAAAGCCATACGAGAATGACAAGGCATTACTTCATTAAGACAGTAACGAGGCTGCATGCAAAATTTGTTTGTGAAGATTCATACCTGTGCAAGAAGGAAAACGGCCCAAGTAAGCACTGCAGCTGTTGTTTCATGCCCAGCAATGAGCATTGTCATCAAGTCATCTCTTAGCTGTAAAAAAGAAACAGAACAAAAGTTGGTAAACAGCAAATAGTTGGATCAATTTCATGTCCAAATGTTGTACACACCGAAAAGGGGACAATGCTGAATTGGCCAGCTACAAAAGATCATAAATGCATAAAACAGTTTGGATTCATGAGGATGTGAACAATATAGACATCCCAATCAAATTAATTTTTTGCTTAGAAATCTTATTTTCAAAAGCATTTAAGTGCAGAACTAGCAAATATTCACCTGACGGTCATCAACATCAGCTCCCCGCATATCAACTAGAAATCGCAGAAGACTTGCATCCTGCAAACTTTATAGTTACAATGCTGGACTCAGAGAACTTTTTATCAAAAATTTGGCAAATAATTACCCACTTTCATTAAATCAAATAAATGCAACTAGCATCTGTTTGATGCAGCTTTGTAGAATATGCCCACCTTTAGATTTGAGTAGTCCCTTTGCTGCAGTTTCTCAATGTCTGTTTCCTATTTATCAAACAATGCAAAAAGGATCAAGATCTAGAAAGAAAGAAGCACAATATTTTCGTCTATATTGTTATAGCTCGTCCTACAGCCTACAAGCAACAAGCTTAAGCACAAAAATAGATAAGATGCAAAATTATTGTGAAGATGCTAGTAAATTCATGAAACACTTCTAGGCTGCTTTGATTTCAAAGAGATCAAAACATACTGCAATGGTCGAATTCACTCAATTTTTCTAAGAGCCATAACTGTCTTTTCAGGTTTGTCGGAAGTAACTTCCAAATACTAATGACTATAAGTATGCCTTGATTATATTAAAATTGAAATATGCATTGACTATGAAGAACGGATACATCATATCAATCATATTCCTGCTACTTTTGGTTGTCACTTTATGACCTTTTCTTCTAATATCCAGAACATATAGAACTTCCTAACTACTCACAGTGGGCAAGATATATTGAAAATCAGGACAGTAATTCATGAAACAGTATCAGCACAAAGGTGAGCAGCAACGTCAAGGTGATCTCTTCATGAATTTCTCAATTTTCACAGGGTAGGCCTTTGCAGCACCCACCAGGTAACTTATTTTTCACTTTACCTTTCTCTCTCATATTGTTTTTCCAGTTAATAATATGGTCGATGCACATGAAAATATAAATAGACCTGTAAAGGATGGAGACAAATGCACTGTGGAGGGAATGTCTAAGGTTCTAGGTACTAATAAGTAGCCAAAGAGAAGTTATTGTTCAGTGATATGAATAATTTCTTCAGTGGATTATAGAAGAGAAAGAAATGCACACATTTTGCGTCTGTGATCAATCTTTGATAACATTGCCTGAATGGATTAGCTCTTTCATGGTTACGAATTCCAAATGCAATTAAGGTACTGAAGATGCTGATTATTCACCTTGTAAAAATAATGATGCAGTAATAATAACATATGAGAAAACGAAACAGAGTTTGCAGACCACAATCTCAACGTGATTATGATTCATATGATTGATTGGTCAAACCATATTAATCTTCAACTCTATTTAATATTGCAGTTGGATATGTTTCTTACCTGTCTGGTCTCTTTTGCATTACTTATGAGTCCATCTAGACAATCATTGATAACCTTGAGGTCTTTTTGGAACTTCCTTTGTCTGGGGACTAACCACCTTGCTAGAGGAAATTTCCAATAAGGAATGTAGAAAGTGGATCTATGCTCAGCTTCAAAAAGAGTTCCATACACTGCCTGTAATAAGTTTTGAAGGGTTAATCATAAAACTTCAGCGTTCAAGCTGACATCAACGCAAAATCATCACGTTGCAAGCGGAAAAAACTCATGATAAACTATAGTCACTATAACAGTTATAACATTGGTACTTCAGTTGAAATAAGTCAATGGGAACTATCTTAGCACTCATCTTTTTGTGTTACCAGATCAATGCTGACACAACAAACAAATATATAAAAGAAACAGGTTGATAATGCATCAAGACAAATGCAATATTATGATAAGATTTTCACCAAACCTTAATAACAGGTGATTCCTTTGTAACTGAACCAAAGTCATAGTTGAAGACGCCAAGGCCAATAATGTCAAGAGCTAAACTTGAAAACTCTGCTTCAAGATCCAACTCAACTTTCTTCTTGCTGTGCAAGTCCTCTCCTTCAAGAAGTTTCTCGATTTTCAATATTGATCTTTCTGAACAATGAGTGAATACCTTGACCATAGCTTCCAAGTATGAGGCATGAAACCCAGGGGCGATTACTGCATAAGCGAAAGAAGAAGCTCCAATTAGAAATACTTATAATGACTTCATTATGAAACTCACTAAAAGCTAAATTAGGTCATGAATAACCAAGAAAATACCAATCAACTAAATTTTAATTCAAGACACTCCAAGTTTTAGGCAGTGCATTGGACATCCGGATTCTGGCTGACACCAATATTTTTTTACTATTTGGAACAGTATATCTGTTTATCAGTTCAACACAACGATTCTACTAAACAACTTAATGGATGAAGCAGCAGTTGAGCATCACTGTGTGACTCTGAGATTATACTCCCAAACACAGGATGCAATAACTTACTAGAGACAAAAATGGAATTATTTTTTACAATCTTCCCAAAAACAGAAGTGTGAAATCTAACAGTTCTCCGAAAGACTAACTAATACGAGCTCAAAAATCATTTGCAACTCAATCATAAGCAGAGGGGAAAAGTCCAAAAACAACAGTGACAACTTGCTCACCTCTTCTCCTTAGCTTCCATGTGTCAAGGTCAGCAGGTATAAGTCCTTTTCCCATTATTGGTTCTAGGATATCAGCAAGAACTCCCTAATTAAAACATTAAAGTCTCAAAAACAAATGATATGAAAAAAAAAAAAAAAAAGTATTCAAGTGCTAGAACATATTTATTAAGAAGCTAGAAAAATCCAAATTCGCAAAAAGCATTATTGAAGCCTGACTATAGGTAGATTTATGCACTGTTGTTCTCATCAAAGTGTTCGTGGAAACAAACATTTCCAGATCATATCATATACCGGCTACTTTAGAAGTACCAATTTTCTTTCAACCCTCTAAATGTGACAAAACGCATATCAATCTCGTCATTCTAAGTTTATAACATGATAACAGATTTCTTTTCTTGGCCATATGTCTCACCAGTAGATTCATGTCTCAATTGAAATTTATTCGTATATGACCTTTGTTGCGGTAAAAGCAAAAGGAAGCAAGAAACTAAAACAATTTACAGGACAGGGCTTATTTCAGCAAGCAAAATATAAAAATAGTACCTTATCATAAGAAAATGTGTTTTCTCGAAGAATATGTCTTGCTACAATGGGGTCTGATACAACAACAAATGCTTTTGGTCCAAAGGCAAGTTTATACACAGATCCATGCTGCCACGTTAAATAGAATAATAAGTTAGGACATCACACACAAATAGCAATGCATGACTAGAGACAAAAAAAAGCTTGAACAATGTGCTGTTGTTTCATTGGTATACAGTCCAACATTAAACAATGGAAAAGCAAGATAATTGAACTTCAGTGGGGTTCAAAACCGATCAAACAACGCAGTCATTATGCGGCTACGAGTATTACCAGTAGCCCAATAACAGCAACATGAGAAAAAGTAAAAATTTGTTTTCCTTGGCTAATTAAAGGATTGACACTCAAATTGAAGAATCATCCACAGAGAAGCTCATGAAATGGAAAGTAGCTGAGTACCTCTATGAACCAATCATATAGTGAGAAGAAGAGGGGACGGCTGAACAAATCAGATACCGCACCTTCCGCTATAGGCATTGACCCTAGATTTCCCCCACTTAACAAATTGGTAAGCAGGTTGCTGGCATTGTCCAAAAGGGTCCTGGTTTTTGGCTCTTCAGTGCTGGTCGACTGGCATCTATATTACAATAACACAGAAAAATTCACCATTGACACAAAATCAGTTCATAAAATTACTTCGATCCAACAAAAAGAAGAAAAAAGCAATTCAATTGGCTGATGCTTCTAAAATTTGAGCAATCAAAATATCCTATTTCACCTTCTTTACAAGCCAAAGAAACTAAGATTAGGTCGCATTTCCATTCTCCTTATGATCCAGATCTCTCTGAAGCAAAGAGGACATAAATGACAACCAAGCCAAGCAGTAAAAAAGATGAAAATTTTGATTTCAGACATGTCTACTTCAAGCTTCAGACATAGAGAGGATTAAAAGATTCAGTGGACAAGCTAAGAGAATAACAATACTAAAAGTTAAAAGACAACTCACTGGTTTACCAAGAAAATTGTTTGACAGAGAAAGTAAAGTTCAAGTCTTTCTTTCACTCACTCTCTCTATCTGCCTTAAACTTCTAAACCTAGTTACCACTTCCCACAAATTCCTCAGTAGCCAATCAATCTTTGATAAGCTTAACAATGAAAACACAAAATACAGAAATGGAAATAAGAGAAATACCTGATAAGAGGAGACCCTTTAGGCTTAGAATTGAGAGACTGATACTGAGAAGGGAATTTTGAGATGCCAATAACTCCAAAATCATTTCTTTGAAAGTAATTGCCATTGCTGGTAGTGAAGGGGAGCTGTAAGAGAGAAGTAGCAGTTGCTGTTAAGGACATGTTGCAACTTGTGTTTTTGTTTTAAGGACACTGACACTGACTGAAACCTTTCAAGGATAACTATTCATGTACTCTATCCCATGGATCTGGGATGACCAACAACGATACAAGAGCCTTGCATTAATGCCTTAACCTAACAAAGCACGCAAGTGCTGTTCATGATTAAGTTACTTTACTTTATTATTACTACATTTGTATCCTCTCATCTCACGTTGTCTTAGGAAATCTCATCAGTTTGAAGTAGATGAAAAAATAAAATAATAGAAAATTTAAGTTAAATTGTTACTATTTTTGGAACCAATTAACAAAAATAAAACTATAACAAAAAAATATATATATATTATACTAAAAATCCTTAGTAATATTAGTTACATCCAATACAATGATTTTATAAAATAATAAAAAATTAATATTTTATTTCTCTCACCTGATTAAATCAATAAATTTAAAATTAACGACGACATTCCAAACTTCTATAACCGATTTTATTTTCTTAGGAATGTAAGAGAATCCAAATTATTTATATAACATCATCCATCATTTATATGGTAATAAGCTGACATGGATTGTTAATTTTAATAAGATGAAAAAAATTCAAATACATATTGAATTAAATTAGATTTTTTATAGTCAAAGGTTGAATAATTTCATATAAATTTTGATAATTTCTAATTAAAATAAGTGATTTTTTCCTATTTTTAAGTAATATAAAATTTAATTTCACTAAAATAAAAATTAAGAATGCAAAGTTGGATTGTCATTTAATACATCTACTGATAATAATTAGCTTTTACACGGAAAAGGAATAAAAAATATATTAAAGGAAAAAGAAGACTTTATATATGGAAATAACTAGTTTTTTTTACATGCACTATGGTGCGGGATTGGATAGAACATATAAAATTATTTTTAAAAATTATTTTAATATACCAAGTGATATTAAAATTGAATAAAAATTCATTCAATGTTATAATTTTTTAATCTAAATTTTGTATTTGACCAATTATTCTTTATATTTTTTATAAATTTTTTATTAAAAAATATTAAATATTTATCTCTATCCACAAACTAAAAAATTTATAATAGCATAAAAAATGTTAAAATCAATGAATTCTTAGCTAAAAACTTATTTTGTAAATTATTTTTTCTAAACATTTTTTTGCTTTAGAATTTTTAATTAAAAAATCGAGAGAAAAAAGAAAGGACCAAAGCGACCAAAAAGAAACAAAAAAGAGGGACCAAAATTAAACATAAAATATTTACGGACTAAAAATATAATATTTAAAAAAGAGATATTAAAGTGTAATGTCATAAAAACTTTCATAATAAATATCTTTAAAATGTTTAAAATCTACAAAAATACTATTGCATAATGAAAGCAATAATGCATATGAGTTTTGGTGAAGAGTGTAAATAATTACGGACGAACAAAATTTCAAATAATATAGTGAATAGTAACCGATCGTTTTACTTTAGTTTTTTTGCTAATAAAAAGGAAAGATAACTACTAATAATTAAATTTACACTGAAAAGGAAACATCAATACGTTTATATATATATATATAAACTCCATATAGGATCTTGTGTTTATATTAAATAGCAAATTAAAACATGTGTACATAAGTCATTTGGTGAATTTAACTTTATGTTTAATATATTTAGACAATTCAATCCAACTCTTCTCGATTCTTAACAAGCATCCAAAAACTTGTTGATGTGAAAAATATATGACCCTAATAACACACATTTTTTTAATTAAAATGGCCTATATATATATATTCATTTGAAAAATAAAATAAAACAAATATGTAGTCCATACTTGACTCTCTCACAACCCACACCTCATATTACAGATTTTAAAAATAAATAAATAAATAAAAAGAGAGAAAACTTAAATAGACTTTTAATTTGATAAATCTACTTTTTTTTTTTTTTGTAAGCTTAATTTTTAGATGTTTGGTAAGAATTGAGAGTAGTTGGCTCGATTTGCTTGAATGTAAAAGACAAAAGTTCAAATTTATCAAATTATTTACACGGAGTTTAATTTATCGATTTGATACAAATACGAGGTCTCAAAAAAAATCCAATTACTTAAAAAAAAATTCTTATTTTAGTCATTAATTAATACTTAATTATCAAGAAAACTACTAATAATAATTAGGTTTCTATCAAAAAAAGGAATAAATAGAAATGTTATAATCATGCAAAAGAAATTTCATATATATTTTAAAGCCTTAAATAAGTTAAACTTAAAGGATTGAAAACCTAGAATTATTCATACACCACCCCAGGAAGTGCCCTCATTTTCTGAGTAAATTATAAATTAGTCCCTCTAGTTTTATAACACTCTCTTTTGTTTTAAAAATTAATTAATTAGTCTATTTTTTAGTGTTAATCATGGCTGATTTAATATTTTTTTACTCCAAAAAAATGTCTTTTTTCTCATCGATCATTCTATATTTTTTTAATTATTTTTATTTATTAAAAAAATCAAAAGAATTAAGTTACAAATAGATTAAAAAAATACAGTGATTAATTAATTTGTTATTGAAAATAAAGGGACTATTTAATTCTTTTTGAAAAACAAGAGGAACTGATTTATAATTTACTCCTTCTTTACTGGTCCAAATTCCTTGCCTTCTTCCCACTTTGAGCCGACTATAGCACCTGTCTAGATCAAACACTGAGGTCCCCCTGCGTGGAGGAAACTCATGCCCACTACATTACCGTAGACTTGAACCAAGCTGCCTAATCTTTCACTATTATTAACCTAATTAATCATTACCCAAACCAAAAAGATTAAAAAATTCCTCAGCCCCCTCCTTCGAAGAAACAACCGAAACTCGAGGAGATTAAATTAATGGTTAAAGGTATATTTACCATGGATATGATCTTGCGTTTGAAGATTAACATAGGTAGCTAACGAGACAGACAAAAAAATTATATTATTAATTACAATAAACTAAATTGATTACACTTACAAAAACGAGGAGGTACTCTGACCGTATATTATAATGATGATTTTTTAAATTTAATAAATTAAATTCGTGATTTCTTACAAGCACATGAAACTCCCACGCATATGAAGGACAAATACCATGTTAGGTTGTAAAAAATAAAGTTTCTGTGACCATCTTGACATTCTCTTCCCTTTAAGTAAATTAAAAAAAAAAACAAAAAAAAACAAAAGGACAAGCTTATAAGGTAATAGATAAATACGAGAAATTTTACATTGCTTTGTAAGATAGAAAAAAATTAAGAAAAGTATTTCTAAACTGAAGTGAAAATATTCAAAATTATGATATATATATATATATATGTGTGTGTGTGTGTGTGTGTGTGTGTGTGTGTTTTTGTCTCTCTTTCTTTCAACTGAAACTATGGAGAAATTATTTAATTTTAGTTTTAGAATAATATAAAATTTATCCCCATAAATAACGTTGATTGTAAGATAAAGTAGTAATAATAATAAGAATAATTGTCACGAACAGAATAGTTTCAAAGAAGCTGGTCTATGGCATAATTGCCATAAATTCAGGTGGTGAAAGAGACAACCGTATAGACATTCAAAGAGTGTGGGCATCATGCATTTGAATTCTAAATTGCTTATTTTCTTTGTTCTTCTTGTCATTTGTCTTCGTTATATTTGTTTTGTTGTAATTTTCTTTTAACAGTAAGGATATTTTCGAATTAGCTTTCATGTGCCTCAAGACTAATCTCTTCATGGACGTTACTAAGAGACATTCACCAATGCATGATCTCGGATATTCTAAAAATAAATACGGATTAATGTTTTCATGCCTTCGAAGGCACAATCTAAACGATTCAAATTAAATAAAAATTATTTTGTATTCTTATATTATCCAGTATTATTTATTTTAATTCTATCATCCAAGCATGATATAAAATAAATCATGTACTATTTAATTGAGACAAATTAGTCTTTTCATCTATCCTCGTTAATCGGGTGTAATCATATAATTAGTTAGAAATTAGGTGAAAGGATTGATTTTCTCCAATTTTGAGTAATACATAGTTTGTTTTGTACCATATTTGAATAAAAAAAATTAAAATAAATAATAATAGATAATATAAAAGCACATAGTGTAATTTACCTTAATAAGATTTAGAGTTTTCATGGACAAAAGTAATAGAAATTTAAAGGCAAGGGAGGACTTCCTCATCGCATAGCATAACGACCATTCAACCCAAAAAAGGAAAGTACGTATTAAGTTTTTTACTATCGAAAGTTGTAAGTGGAATAATAAGACTATTTCTGACTCAATAGCTTGGGAATTTAATTCTCACCTTGAAAAGCTATTTTTTCTTTTTTGTGAACTGAACTAGTGATGGATTCAAAGAATTTAATTTTTAAAATTAATAAAAAATTAAACGTGATTTAGTACTAATCTAACCTAAAAAGTAATCAATTTATTCTTGTTTGATGCAAATGTTGGCTCGAAAATATGTATTATCAATAAATATTAAAACAAAAAAAAAATTCCTTTGTATGTAGAATTTAAGATTAAAGCTTGTTATATGAATTATATCAAACAAGACACATGCAATTTTAATGAGAGATTGATTCAAAGAAGCATTGAAAATGAAGGTGCAAAGTTTATTTTATTTTATTTTACTTTATTTCCTTTTAGTCCTGATATTCATTAATATCCATGGAAGTACCCTATTTTCTTCTCTCCATTCTCGATATTAATTAATATCCATGGAAGTACACCAGAGTATCTGCTTTCACATTCAAAGAAGAAAAAAGAAAAAAACCCGACATCCATCCTTTTTAGAGTTATAGCATTTGAAGATAAGATATGATATACATAGCAAGTTGTATTTTAATGAAATGAGTCAAAGAGTTAATGATTTTTTCTTAAATCCTACTCCTCCCTGTCGGCATGAAATTTTTGGTTGCAATCTTTGAATTACTTAAAGAAGACGAAACAATATTTTATACATTTCCAAGATTCTATATATATATATACATATATAGAGAGAGAGAGAGAGAGAGTTACACTATAATTACACTAAATTTCAACATTTTCTCAATTAAGATTTAAGTATACAAACTTAATTTTTTTTTATTTGGATACATTAATTTTTTAAAACTCGTCAATTAAGTATTTTTGTCAATTTTTTCTGTTACCCAATGATATTTTCGTTATCCTCAAAAATACTAAATTATAATTTTGCTCTTTTTCTCCATGGATAAGAGCTTTAATTTTTTCAGATTGAGTATATTAATTTTTTTAAAATTATCAATCAAGTACTTCTATCAATTTCTCCATTAATTGATGACATGTCCGAATATCAAATTAATTTTTTTTCTTTCTTTCTTGTAAAAAATTTCTCTTAAATTATTCTATCATTTTAAAATTTGATAAAGAATTTTAAAAAGTTATTTTTGGTTATAAAATGGGATAATTACAATATAAGATATCAACTTTTAACTTTTTTCTCAATCGAATAAATGAACTTCAATTTTTTTCGTTTGATTACATCAATTTTTTTAAAATTGTCAATTAAGTAATTTTGTCATTTTTTTTTAACTGATAATGTGTTTGGTACCCTCAAAATACCAAATTATAATTTTATCATTTTTCTCAATCGAGCACATGAATTTTAATTTTTTTTTTGTTTGAGTACATCAATTTTTTAAAATTGTCAATCAAGTATTTTCATCACTTTCTTCGTTAATTGATGACGTATTTGAATATGAAATTATAATTTTACCCTCTTTTTGTTAAAAAAAACTTTCTCCTTAAATTATTTTACTATTTTATAATTTGACAAATAATTAAAAAATATATTTTTTATCCCTAAAATTCCAAACTAAACTCAATTAGGTTGTTATAAAATATATATATATAGTTAGGTTTAAAATTAAAAATTGAAGAAAAAAAATGAATCTTCTTGACAAAAATCTCACATTTGTGTTTTCTTTAATTTTCATGCCCAAAACCTAACTAATTTTGTCTTTAACAATGAGGCCTAATTAAGTTTAATTTGAGATTTTATAACTAAAAATAATTTTTTAAAAGAATTTCAAAATGATATAATAATTTAAGAAAAAATTTCGACAACAAAAGATGAAAAAAAAATAATTTGGTATTCGGACACGTTATCAATTAATGGAGACATTCATAAAAGTATTTGATTGATAGTTTTGAAAAAGCTAATGTATTCAATCTGAAAAAAAATTAAAATTCTTGTACTCTATTGAGGAAAAGGGAAAAATTATAATTTGGTGTTTTGAGCATAATAGACACGTTATTAGTTAACGTAAAAATTAATGGAAGTACTTGATTTACGGCTTTGAAAAAATTGATGTACTAAAATAAAAAAAATTAAAGTTTATATACTTGATTGATAAAATATTGAAAGTTGGTATACTTATATTGTAATTATCCCGTTATAAAATTTCAAATTAAACTTAGTTAGGCTTGCTTGTTTAAAAAAATATCAATTAGGTTTTGAGCGTGAAAGTTGAAAAAAACATAAGCGCGAGATTTTTTATCAACAAGATTTATTTGTGTTTTTCTTCAATTTTCACGTTTAAACTTAACCGAGTTTTTTTTTTTAACATCAATCTAATCGAATTTAGTTTGAAATTTTATAGATAAAAAAAAATAATGTCTTAAAATTTTTTGTCAAATTTTATAATGATAAAATAATTTAGGGAGAAAGTTTCTTTCAATAAAAAGAAAGTAAAATTATAATTTCGTATTCAAACACGTCATCAATTAACACAAAAAATTGATAAAGTACTTGATTAATAATATTTTTTTTAAAAAAATGATGTACTCAAGCAAAAAAAATAAAATTTATGTACTCGATTAAAAAAATATAAAATTTTAATTTGGTATTTTGAGAGTAACGGACAAGTTATCGATTAACGAAAAAATTGACAAAAGTACTTGATTGACGATTTTAAAAAAATTGATATACTTAAATGAAAAAAAATTAAAGTTCATATACTCAATTGAAAAGAAAATTAAAAGTTATATATATATATGTTATTTTATAGTAGTTGTGGATTGAGTTAAACGTTTGGTTGTAGGTATGAAATCTTATGTTTTGATTTAGTTTTTGAAATTGAAAAGATCTAATAGCATCCAACACCTAGCACTAGCATGAGAGCCTAAGCTAAACAATTTTCTATTTCGGCGTCACACAAATTAACGAGAAATAGCCAATTTACGGCTTGATATGTGAAGAAAAATATTATTAGGTTATCCCATATCCTTCATGGAAGAGGCTGAATGTTTGACCATAAGTATGAGATAAAGTCTCATTTTTTTAACTAGTTTTTAAGGTTAAAAAAGTCACACACACATTATATATATATATATATATATATATATATATAAGAGGGAAAAAAAGAAAAATAAATAAATTTGGCCCAAAGCCACCAACATAGAATTTACAAGAAAAATCAGCCAATTATTTTTATTTATTTATTTGAATCATAAATTCAGCCGTCTATTTCTCTTGGGTCACAGGGCGTTGTCTCTCAATTATAAACCCTCAATATTCTTGACTGGGAAAAAACATGTGCATCCAATCGGCAACATTTCTCCTGCGCGCGGGCAGACGGAGATGAGCGAGACCCGTTGGCCCCTTTGTAAAGTTCAAAGGTAAAAAAGTCAAAATCAATCAATTTTACGGAGAAAATGGAAATGTTCAACTATGACCTGATAATTCACACTTCGTTTTATTTTATTTTATTTGTGCTTTTGGCCGTAAGAAGTGAGACACAATACACCACCAAGTGTAGAACTTCGAGGTACTAAAACATGATTTTTTCTATACACGTGAGGTTGAAATTTGAGACTAGCTAGAGGAAAACGAAACTAAGTAAGTGGGAAAGAAATACCAAATTAAACGGGATTAGTACGGATCAAGAAATCAAATAATTAATTTTTCAAAAAAACTAATTAATTCGTTTCTCAAAATTAAAAAAATAATTTATAATTTACTCACGAATGGATAAAAATGAAAAAAAAATCCCATTTCTTCGCAAAATTTATCTAGCTAGCTACCTAACGAGATTCCTCATATATATATATATATATATATATATATTGAAGATAAACTCTAGTTAGTTTTTACAACTAAATTAATTAAAAAATCAATCTAATTTTAAAAGAAAAATTAATTTAAGGGGAAAATTCAATTTATGTTTTGAAGCAAATTCTGTTTATCATTTTACACATACGTGCGCGCGCACATATATTTTAATGAAGACTAATTTTGGATGTACCTATGATAATTTAGAATCATTAAAAGATATATAATCGAGAAAAGTTAATACTCTCTTTGTTTTAAAGAGATGTTTTTTTTTTTACTTTTTATACAAATTAAAAAGATTATTAATTATTATGTTTTATCAACATTTTTTGTTTATTTTTTTAAATATATTTTTTAATGGTATTTAGATATTTTTTATAAAATAAAATTTAATTAAAAATTCACTATTAAAAATTTTAAATATATTGAGAGAAATATAAATAAAAAAACAAACAAACTAAGGGGCAAGTATCAACTAATATTATGAATATTGTCATTATGAATTCTAAAAAAGTAAAAAAAAAAAAAAAAAGGTAATTATGAAGGCAGAGTTGTTAAAGGCAATTACTTAATTGGAAGAAGGTACATGGCTATTTCCTCTCTGACCCAAAAAAAAAAAAAAAAAAATATTGCATCTTCTTTGAAATCTCCAAACTCACCCAATACCACCTACCACACACAAAGTCTACAGCTGACGAGGCCACCTTGAATAGATGATCTCATCTGGATAGAACCCTATGAATGTTGCTTCTAGGAAGCATGCAACCTCAAAATAAAATATGATCAGACAGTCTTGCCCTTATAAAGCTTATAAACTTTCCAGAAAACCATAACATGCCAAAATCTCACGTGCCACATCAATTTGTGATCATACTCTTACCATAAATCAATGGCCAAGATCTCTCCTCGAGTTTCTCTTTGACCATGTTGAACCTCCATAAATACCACAGGCCTAAGCTCATTCCCTCCCTTCAAACTTGCCATAGAAAAAACACACACATATACACTGTAGTGGTCTCTCTGTGTGTCTATTCTTTTTTTTTTTTTATGCAATAGATAAGGTCATGAGCGGAATCATGTCCGATAATCCTACCGATTGGTCTCAATTCTATCAACAAAACATTTCTAACCAAGTTCTACCCCCGATTCGACCGATGTTCGGGGATCGAGTCGCCGATGCTATTACTGTTACCACCACCACTACCGTCAATACAGTTGGTGTCACGAACCCTATGGGTCCGGGCAACTCTAGCTCAAGTGCCGGTCATATGAGTCCTGAAGGTCGAGTTGCCAAGCCTATTCGTAGAAGGTCTAGGGCTTCAAGACGAACCCCAACAACATTACTCAATACAGACACCACAAATTTCCGAGCCATGGTGCAACAATTCACTGGAGGTCCAAGTGCACCATTTACATCAGGGTCACAGATTAATGCAACAAATTTTGGTTTTGCTTTAGGGGCTCATCGTCAAGCTCACCATGTGAATCACCCTAGTCCGGTCGTGATGCCACCAGGGTATCATTTGCAATATCAACAGCAACAACAGCAGCATCAATTTCAGCAGCAAAGCCAGCAGCCATCACCATACATGTTTTCTTTGAGCAACAATACTATCGGTAATAGCACTCCTACCACTACCACCACCACTCCCGGTGATATGTTTTTTCAAAGACTTGGAAACCCTAGACCTACTGCAAGTATGGAAGTTTCTGATCATGGGTTTGTGTCAACGGAAGGATCTGTAATTTCATCCCTGGCGGCTCCTCCTTCTAGGCCTCCATCTTCCAGCTCCAATGAGAATAGAAGTAATACTTTCTTGTTTTGAGAGGGACATAAAGATGAAAGTTAGGCACTGACTTGTCCTATGAGACAACCATTGACCAACGTAAATATTATGCCACTCACACTTGATAGCAATGCCTTTTTTTTTTTTTTTCCTTTTTTTTTCTTTTTGCTTTGCTAGGTTCTAAAATGTGGCAAATATTATTCTAAGTCTGCCACATGTTTTGTTTCTCAGCAATTTTTTTTTTCAATTTTTGTTGTTTTCTTCTATCAATAGGAATGTATTGTTAATTATGTTTTTTCAATACATGCATCATGCATGGTCTTGGTGATGGTGTTTATTTTCAAAAACTATGGGCTAAGTATAATATATAAGGAAATAAGCATGCTTTTCTCATTCATTATATATATATATATATATATATATATATATATATATATATTTACATTTATGCAAGCTTCAAGGATAATTAATCTTTTAATCCCTGCATCTAACTGCTAGTTCAAACACTTATAGGTTGACATAAAATTAAAAAAAAATAATAATAATAATAATTAATTAAATTAAACATGTTTTGTGTGTTAATTTTCATAGATGTGCCACTTGTTCATATATAGTGTAAGAGAAGTGTTTTATCGGTAAGCCGATATTGTCTTGATTTGATTAAAATTAAAATTTAACTTTTATCATTTATAGATAATTAACTATAATTATTTTTTAGTTATACCAGACTTTGATTCATTTGATGGTCTAAAAGGGAGTTCAGTCCACCAAAATCTAAACGTGTTGTAGGGTTAACTTAGTTCAGAAAATAATGAACTTAGTCTCATTTGATACGAAAGCTAATCCGGGTATATATTTAGAAAGCGGTTTCAAAATCTATGTGCTTAACTCAATAAAAAATAAATCTTTTTGCTTAAATATATACATGTGTGAGTGCAAGATGTAGCCACTATTAGTTAAGAAAACAGCCTTTTTCATTCGAAAATTGTACTTTTTTAAAAAAGTCTTTTACACTTAGTTACAACTTAATTAATTTGAGATATTTTGATTCATGCTAATTTTATCTAAAATTATTTTTCAAAATAATTCCCAGTTTTTTTCTTTCACTGATAAGTGAAATTCATTTAAGTTCCAAACATTCGATAAATGAGATTTTTTATATTAGAAAATTAATGATTTCAATATATTGGGAAACATTAATTTTCAGTAAATTAGTTAGCATTAATTATTACAAAATGCTAAGTTGAGAAAGAGAAATTTAGGAGTATTTCACATATATATATATTTTTCATGAACCTTAATATATCTTTATACGTCACAATAAATGGCGATAAATACTCATCCAATGTGTACAATAAACTTTTTGTGAATCATGATGGTGTATTTAGCACATGAAATTTCACAGAAAAAGATTGATTAGATTGAGAAATGGGGAAGAGGGGGTGAATGTGGACGTATCATGGGGTCCATTGACATGAAAAAGGAGAAAGTGCACTTTACAAAGTCAAATTTATACCCTAATCTTTGCTAATTTGAATTAATATGGGTGCTTTTTGATTCACTAAGATTACATCAATCCCTAATTGGCTAATGGAACATTATCATCTAAGCCACCATAATTTTCAACCTAATTACATTTGAATAATTATTTTTGGGTTATGTCACGTGGACGAACATTGAACTAGAGCTCAATGGAATAATTAACTTTTATATATATATATATACACACACTATTTTGTTGAAAGTAATTTGAATTAGAGAAGGCAATGAAACAATTAATTTTTTAGATGTTTATGATGGAAATCCATTGATTAAAAAGGAATACGAAGCGATTCTCGGGTCTATTTTTAAATTTGTAAGTATTTACTTTAGTCCGTAGTTTGTAGGTAAGTTCTTATCTAATGTTATTTCAATCGTCATCAATATTAACATTGTTCGTCAAATAAAGTAAAATATACTCTATCGTGATTTAAATATTAAATAAGTAAAAAATTGTCTCCTCACCAATGATTCTAGAGGCAAGGAAAGTATTTCAATGTGAAAACCATCTATATGAAACAAATTTCCAACAAATTTGATGCTTAAAATTGTTTGTTCTTGTTTCACTTTGCCTTCCTTCTAATCATGGTTTAAAATAGCTAGGGCTCATGTAATGCCTCTCGTCCTCCTTGATGAGGCCATGGATCACAAACTTCCCTTTTCTTCTTAAGGAAAAACATTAGAGAGATTGATCCATATTAGTTGCTGTCACTTTTGACCCTTTTAATTTGAATACTCAAAGAAAGATTGGATTCCTCCTTATAATAATAAGGGATTTGATCTTTGGTGCAATTCAATATAATCACATGGGAAAAAAAATGCTATAGAAATTAATTTGGCACCAATCATCTACTGAATTTGACTGATATAATTGACTAAGGCATGCCAAAAATATATTCCTTAGAGAGATACTTCTAACAGAATGGAAGGCTCTGGTGGGTGGCCGGCTGCCTAACAAAAACAAGAAACGCATTAATTAATGTGGATTTTTTTTTTTTTTTTTTTTAATGCCTTGAGGAATGGAGACCTGAATGTGCTTGAGGTGGAAGATGAAGTTAATCAACAAAAGGATTAGAAGAATTTATGGTTGTCCTTTCATGGCTCGAAAATGAAGGGTAACTTGAATTTCTTTCCTCTGGCTATTGGTTAATGAGAACTTGGCAGGAACATTCTTGTTTGTCACTTCCAAGAATCTGAAACATTTTTGGGCAGACCATGTGCCTTTTCTTGGTCCATTGGGCTTGCTCTACGTCAATTGTGATTCTATGAATATGTTGTCTGACCTACTTTTACAGTAAAAAGAAACTCTGAAATCATTTAAACCAAAAAATGAAAAATGAAAAACAAAAAACAAGAAAACTAAAACCATTCTTGGATGAGGGAAACTGTTTAATTTGTCATCATTTAGTGAGTCCTCATATTATTACTGACTGTTAAAGTTAGTCCCTAGACAATTCCAATTTCCAAGTGATAATCTCTGGTAAAGAACACCTCAGTAGCTTAAGCAGTCAACCAAGCGTCAGCTTGCAGAACTTCCAGAATGTTACAGCTCCTATTGCACAAATTATGGGAAGAGAATGCAACAAAAACAAAAGGCAACAGAAAAAATGAAGGATTTTTTATAACACGGAGGACAATAATATTGCTCAATCTGCATTGAATTAAACACCTTAACAAATTGATGTGTGTGATAGAAAGTTTAATATGCGGTGAAATTATTATGCTACAAAAGAATGACTTCAGTGGTGTCTGGAATAGGATGGAGGCCTTATCAACATGTTGCCTTCAAGGTGTGATGGATGGAGGCCATATATAGAGTGGTGTCATGGTTATTTCAGCAGCATCAACCAGTGGAGAAAGAGATTGAAGCTCAACTGTTCAGAGGTCTGACTAGGTTACTAGCTGCGAAGCTATGATGGATCACAAGCAACTTTTTGTGCATTTGGCATTTGCTCCTCCAAAGAATCACAACCTTTTTCTCATCAAAACTATGTCTCTACCTGTCATCCAGAAAACAAGTAAATGGGGAAAATGATGAAAGTGATCTAAGAACAGAAAAATAGGCAAAACTGAAGATGGAGTTCTTTACTAAGTGCAGATCACGTGTTGATTCGTCAGCTGACTGCTCATCCACGAGATCTTAAACAATATATGTCAAGACAAGAAGGTGGATTTGTACTACACCCCCCCCCCCCCCCCCCACAACCCCAACCAAAAAAAAAAAAAGGATCATTTGGCCACCCATTGTTGAAAGCTAGTACTTTCTGTAGTTGGATGACCAGCTAAGACTAGTCCTTTCTGTTGTTGGATGACCAGCTAAGACCTTAAAATGTTCTCCCAAAGTTCATTCCAGAAATATTTGATCAGAGGAAGGCCAGGAAAATGCCAACAAGAAGTAAAACCCTTCACATTATTGTCTCCTCTCTCTCTCTCACACATCTCCACCCACAAAAACTCCAGTTCTGCTGTTGTACGTTTTCATCCAGACAGCAACAACATCTGCGGATCCCAAATAGGACCCACAATACTGATATCTGTACAGAAGATATATGTACAAGGAGTACTGCAAAATTTCTCCCATTTCCACCTAATCCTTGGCATTTTCTGTTTGATAGGTAAGGTTGATCATAAGAGCTGTACAAACAACATCTCAACTTCTGACTGTCTATTAAGTCCCACAGCTCTAACAAATTTTCTGTAATTATTGCTAAAGGAATAAGATTGTTGGTGCATAGTTCAAATAATGTGAATGACAGGGCATATTGGTAAAACTGAAAGAGTGCGTTTGAAAATTGTGCTGATATACCTTAGGTCAATAATTCGAACTAATGTAGTCCATCTGTATATTGATTTTTCTATCTGGCACGTGTTCCACCATAGATCATATTGAAGTCATGTAAGTACTGGCTGCGATCCTGCATAACAAAGCAGCTTGAGATTTTATAAAGTCATTCACAACGCATGAAAAATTAGAAAGATAACACAAATGCAATCAAGCATTATTTGGTGAATACAAAGGGTGCATAATGTCGAAGACACTAGTGAATTGTAGAGCAAACATGGATTCTATGTAGATATATCTCCATATGCAGACTAGTCTAGTTAGCAAGCAGATTGGCTGATCGAAAAATCTGCAACAGTCCCACCTATGAAAAAGTAAAAAAGTGACAAAGAAGCAAAATTCATCTTTGAAGTTTGAACTACTGCATGGTGATGTTAGACTCTAGAGGTGATATTAGACAACACTTCTTAGACAGGTTCCAGATACTAATCTTTCCTTGTTTATCTTCTCCAACAGTTACCATTTCCTGAATACTGCACTATCTACATCGACCAGAACTTCACTAAGCCTCAATCTTATGCTCGTACATCAAAAAGAGACCTAATTACCATATGTATTCTTTATTCTTTTCATCTGATACCATTAAACTTAAAAACTTCATGAATGTTGCCATTAAAACACAGAGCTGATTCTCTATCAATTCTTTATCTCTGTTGTGGAGGTCCCCACTAACCATACTCAAATCCTAGAACTTTGAACCCTGCGATCTGTAACTTCTTAATCCAAACAAGCACTAAATCACAATGAAGGCACATAGAAAAAGATTATCAAATGCTACACCAAAATACAAAAACAAAAGATGCTACAAGCATGTTGAGGATAATTCTGCCCACAAAGAAAACATAGGTTGTTTAGAGTGTTTTGAAATTTCAGAGATCATTACACTAAATGACTAAAGAAAAAAAAAAACAATTGTAAAAATAAAAAGATTCAAAAATTCCAAGGAAGATTTTAAATTACAGAAAAAAAGATCAACATATTTTGTTCTGTAAGGAAAATACTGCATTGGTTAACATTAAAATAACTCGGGAGCAGTTGATATGCTGCAGTTCCTTTAGACTGGTTCCCAACAATATCAACACAAAAACATAAAAAAGTTTTTCAACTTACTGATTAAAAAAATTTGAAGCTTTGTCAATGAAACAGTAGAGTGTACAATCAAGTTTATCATTAAATCTGAACTCAAAAGAAGTCGAACAAGACCATCATTGACATATAAAAGAGTTTCACCTGTGAGATCACCAACAATAACAATTGTCATGTCTTTTCTTTGGTCATCCACCAATGTTTGCATGGTTGGTAATATGTCCCTTCTTCAGCAAGAGTAGATTCGCCCAAACATGCTCTAGTCGAGAACAATGTTACGATGGTGATATGTGAATGATATTCATGAAATTCACTTTCCATTTACCCTGTTTCATAAGGCCAATTTTTATCTTTTTACAATAGGTCTTACTATCCAAAAAAGTGCTTTTGGATCTCTAAATATAACTGAACATTTATAATCTATTTCAACAAAATTGGCATTTGCATTTGCATTTAAATGACCAGTAAATTGAACAAGTTTCACCAGAGAAACATTCCAATTCCATAGTGCACCTAAAAAACTGCAGAAAGAGCCAACTTAATTTCTGATTTAAGTCTCTTTGCTTCTCTATGATGACCAGAATGACGAAGACAATCAAAAACCGCACGCTTAGCAGATGGGAGTATTCTCGTGCCAATTCTTAAACAAGAGAGCAAGAGCTTGGATGCACAACGGAACCTTCCAACCTTGCAAAGATTGTGAATCAAGGAGGAGTAGGTAAAAGAATCCCTTGTATCCATTGAATCAAAGATTTTCAAAGCATAATCAATTCTATCTGCTTTACACCACCCATCAACCATGGTGTTTAAAGCAACCAAGTTTGAATTGATACCCACTGCATTCATATACTCCATGGCCCTAGCAACATCACCTTCCTTGCAAAACCCATACATCAGAATTGTGTGTGTGTACTCATCACATTCCAAACCTTCCTTTTCCATCTCATCAAGTACTTCATGTGCCACTTCCAACTTACCACCTTTACAATACAAATTAATTAGTGTATTATAAGATGCCATATCAAGACCAATACCAGTGTTCACCATCCGTTCCATATAATGACTTGCTTCTTCAATCCTACCAGTCTTGACCAAAGCACCAACAACTGTGCAATATGCAAAACCATCAAAGGTATGCCCCTTATCAATCATCTCTTCAAATATCTCAAACCCTTGTTCAAACCTCCTAGATCTAAAGCAACATCTCATGACCGTAGTATACGTTATAACATTCGGAACAAGTCCAGATGCACCAAGCTCCTTGAGCAACCACCTAGCTGTCTTCAATCTCCAAGCTTTACACAACCCGTTAATAAGAATATTATAAGTAACCAATGAAGGAACAAACCCATGTATCTTTAAATTCCTAAACAACATAAGTGCGTTCTCCACATAACCGTTCTTGCAAAGCCCATTAAGCATGGTATTAAACGTTGCTGGAGAAGGTGATAAATAACGAAATATAATATCTGTAAGAACCCGATTCGCGTCATCAGGTCTTCCTAGCTTAAAAAAACAATGCATCAAAGTATTATAACTCCAAATATCAGGTTTTATTCCCAACTCAAGCATTTCGTCAAACAATTCCACACATTTCGACATCAAACAATGCCTCATAGCACCGGCAATCAAAGAATTATAAGTAACAATGTCAGGATTTATACAAGCTTCTTTCATTCTATCAAGAACTGAATAAGCAGCATCATAACTAACAAATCGAGAGTAAGCATGAATCAGGGTATTGTAAGTAACAACATCAGGCAAAACACCTAGTCTTATACCATCAATAATCACAGTTTCTGCTCTTTGTAAATGCTTGGCTTTGCAAAAAGATGCTATACAAATATTCAAGAATCTAGTAGATGATCTACTCACCATTACTATTATCTGATGGAACCCAATAACAAGAAGAGGCAAAAATTGCATACCAATAACAATTCTTGCCCGAAAGTTTCAAACTTTGAATCAATTCTTGCAGCTAAGAAAAGAAAGTTTGAAAATTTGATGTGATTCTTGTTGATCCTTTTGGACATTGAAGTGTTGGCATTGAACCCAGAAGGTGTTTGTGTTTTTGTCCTGGTTTGGTGTTAAGACAAAGGCCAGTTTGGCTGGAGATGCAAAGAGCTGCCGTTTGGGTAGATGGAATGCGAGTCCTGTGGATTAGCCCGGCTTCAAGTGGTGGAACTTTTATGGGCTGACTGAGCTTTAGCCCAACAATTTGAAATATGGGCTTTAATGCTTTGGTCCATCACATCATTCTTAAATAATAAACTTTGTAGCTTTAAAAAATATTTATGTCTAATTTTTTTCAAAAAAAAAAAAAATCAAATTCTGGCATCTCCTATATATATATATATATTTAGAGAAAAAATAATTAATTAAGAAAAGTATGAAATTATTACATTCTACTGCCATCTAAAATCTTAGACCAAACTAATAGAATTTTTACACATTATTAAATTTGTCAACACATTTTGACTGATACATTATTAATTATTTTATTCCATAATTCATATGTGGTATTAATTGTGAAAATATTTTCATTTCAAATATGATTTATTAAATAGATAATTTGAATAAATTTAATTATTTAGATTAATAAGAATTTTACTTTTGGTGTTGTTAAATTTACCATCAAATTTGTTATTTCACCACTTATTTTTTTGAAATGTTTGTTACTATATATGGTTAAATATGTTTTATATCAAATACCTAAAATTCTTAAAAATTAATTCAAAAAAATAATAATAAACAATAAAAATATTGATTGACGTTTTAGATATTTGATATAAAGTATATTAAGGCTAAAAAGGTCAAATCTCCTTTAAACTTTAGTTCATTTGAAATTCAGTTCTTAAATTTTTAATTTGTGTTCTGATCTCTCTGAATATATATATATATATATATATTGAGATTTAGTTCATTATATGGTTTTAAGCTATGGCATCTCCATTTAAAAAAATTTAATTCTGAATTTTTGATATAAAGTTTTGCTTACATATTAATAAAATCTAATCTATTTTGTAAAAAAATTATAGAATTTTCGAGATCGAGAATTATATTTATTTATTTATTGAACATTAAAAATGTAAAAACTCAAGAAAAATATAAAATAACCTGTAATAATTTCAAATTTTTTGAAAAGTTTCAGATAAATCTCATTAAATGATTTTATTATAAAAATGTTTATGTAATTTGTTTTTAGATAAATAACGTAAAACTAAAAGATTGACTAAATCTAAAAAAAAAAAAAAGGTTTAGAGAGGTCAAAAAATACAAATTATAAGTTTAAAAACTGATTTTTAAATAACTTAAATTCCAGAAAAGATTTGGTCTTTTTAACCTATATTTAACTCTGATATAGTAACAAATATTGATGGAACTATATTGATAAGTTTTTAAAAAATAAGTGATGAAAATAACAAATTTGATGATGGATTTAGCAGTATCATTTTACTTTTTCATAGCTTGATCCGAGCTTTGAACTCGAGTAGTTGATGATGTAGCACAATTGTTTGATTCCATAAATTATTACTTCCTCTGTTTTAAAGAAATTATCTTACTTTTTATTTTCATTTCTTTGTTCCAAAATAATTGTAAGTCAAAATATTTAAATTATATATTTATCACAATAATCCTAATTAAATTCCATTGATAAAAATCTATAATTAAAAATGAGTTTTTTTTATAAAAAAGTATAAATAAAAAATAGAGAAATGATATACCAATTAGTGACATTCTTAATATATGTGAAAGTCAAACATGATAAATTTTTATTTTTATTTTTTTTAAAAAAAACAGATGGAGTATTTTATTACAGGACTCCTAATTAATCTCATCGGTGAGGAATCCATGATTCAAAATAGTTTTTTTTTTTTTTTGGTGAATTGACATATCAATTAATAATATTTTTAATATGTGTAAAAATCAAACATGTCTTTTTTTTTTTTTTTTTTTAGGAAGAAGAGAGTATTTAGACAAGGCCCAAGTTTCGGTGGTCCAGTTATTTTTGAAGACGAAGCCCATAAATCCTCTCTATTACAAAGCTATTCATTTAGGCCCCTGCTTTCTATTTCAAGAAACACGTCTATTTTTAAATTTATATATGTCTCAAAATATTTATTTGATTAAAATTTTAAGTGATATATTTTTTTCCTAAATACCCCTAATTGAAGTCCATTTGATAAAAGATTGTCCAAATATTTTTTTTAAAACGAATATTTTTAGAAAGTATGAAAAAAAAAAACACTAATATGACATAACAATTAAGAAAATGTAATAATTTCTTAATGTGTTTCAAATGTGATAATTTCTTTGAAAGAAAGGGAATAGTAAATTGTTTTCTATTTCCTATTCTGTAATTCAAGCCTCATCCACTTCAAGTTTTGGTAGCTTGGAAATTGTCCTAAGAATGCAATGGGACAGAGTGATTTGCAAGACATGTTATCAATCCTTTCACTTCAAGTGCATGTATATTTATATAGTACTAACTCTAGCAAAAACATTATCAACCAATCCTCTTCACCTATTCCCTCTTCCAAAAAAAGAAAAAAAAAAAAATGAGTCTCAAGAACATTTCTTTCACTCTCTTGGCTGCCCTTTTGGCAACTGTTGTTATTAATCCAAACCTTTCACTTTTGCGCCAAATCATTGAACTTGGTTTGGCCACTTTTTCGTCACCTATTATTGCAACTTTCATTCCATATAGCATTGAAGGCCATCACCACCATCCTCATGACAAACACCCGGGGAAAAAAGTCAACATTTGTGAAGATTTTCCTCCTAATTTTCCTCCTCCAGACACCAACACAACCTCAACCATTTGCGTCGATCGAAACGGATGTTGTAATTTCACAACAGTTCAATCTGCAGTTGATTCTGTCATGAATGATAGCCCAAAAAGAACCATAATTTGGATCAACTCTGGCATTTATTAGTAAGTTAGTTCTTCCTCTTCTTTGTTTTTTATTTTTATTTTTTAAATTTCGATGGTCGTGTGACACCCGCATACCAACTTGCCTTAATCAAGCCTAAGTCCATCTTCAGATCGATTGAGAAAATACATAAAAAGAGAAAGTTGATATTGCATTCAATTTATTTTTTGTAATCTTTCTTTGAAGTTTCTGAACTTTGACATTTCTGTTGGCTTATTTTAGCGAGAAAGTCACTGTTCAGAAAAGCAAAGAGAACGTTACATTTCAAGGACAAGGCTATACATCAACTGCAATTGTCTGGAACAACACTGCAAAATCTTCTAATGGGACATTTTATAGTGGTTCTGTTCAAGTTTTCTCTAACAACTTCATTGCTAAGAACATAAGTTTCATGGTAAGATATATAGCTGACCAACAACATTAAATTAATAACGTTGTCTCATGAGAAGACAAGTAGTAATTAACAATATGTTTCCTTTGTCATACAAGAATGTTGCACCAATTCCAAGCCCCGGTGATTTTGGAGCCCAAGCAGTGGCTATTAGAATATCTGGTGACCAAGCTGTTTTCTTGGGTTGTGGATTCTTTGGAGCACAAGACACCCTTCATGACGATAGCGGTCGCCATTACTTTAAGGATTGTTATATCCAAGGTTCTATTGATTTCATCTTTGGCAATGCAAGGTCACTCTACGAGGTGAGTTAATTTCAATCTGAAGCAATATTGCCTTCCTACTTTTTTAATTCTTGATTTTACTATTACAAATCCTTAAGCTTGCATGCATGCATGATATGAAACTGACTCAAGAAACATTACATTTTTTAAAAGGGTGTCTTGCAATGAAATCGAGGCAAAACATGACTATGCTTGACAAAGAGTCCAAGAAATTAAATATGCAACTTATACTCTTGGGGCAATCCCCTCACCTCTCTTCATATAATATGCTAATTTTTCAATCTATCTCTAAAAAAAAAAAAAAAATACTTTCATTATGTTATAATATTTTGAGTTTGTTTCTAATCTATCATTTTAGTCAAAATTTTTTACTAATTTTCAGAAATTAATTTTCATATTATTAGTAGATATAGATTATTTGTGTCAAATAACAAATATAATTTTGTCAAATTACATGCTCTATACAAATCACATGCTTAATTTAACTTAATTTAGTCGAAAATTTTAACTAAAATGATAAATTAGAAACTATCTCAAAATATAAAAACTTATTAAAGGCTTTTTTTTAAAAGACATATTGAAAAATTGGTTTATTATATGAAAACAAAGGAGGTGTTGTTTGATAATTAGGAATAGAGTGATGAGAATGAGAATGAAAGTCTTGTTCTCACATTGTAGTTGTTTGGTTAAAAGGAATGAAGTAGGAATGTAAATGAAAATTTACACATAACTTCATTCTTGCATAAGACGTGGAAATAAAAACAAGAAATGAGAATAAATTTTTTTTTCAAAAGAATAATATATTTTATTTATTTATTATCTATTAACTATTTTTACCACCATCACCATCACCACAACTACCACGACCACCACAACTACCACGACCACTACCATAATCACCACCATCACTACCACCGCAACAATTAAAACCACCACTTCAACCATCACAATTACCACCACCATCATTATCACCATCACAACTACAACTACAACCATTACCGCCATCACCACCATAACAATCACCACCACCATTATCATAACCACAATCACCATCATTACCTTTATTTTTTTACAACCATTATAGTTTAATAAATTTATTTTTTAATTATTATTTTTATTTGTATAAAAAATCATATATTAAAAAATTTAAATTGCATTCTGATTTTTTATTAGTATTCCAAATACAATATTGGAATACGGATAACATTCCGATTTTTTAATTTTCATTTCGATTTCTATATTCTCATTTTCATCACTTTATTTCTATTA